CCGTACATCAACTAAACCGTTTGGTAAAGGCGTAGTGACCCGGTCTAATAATGGGCTATGCGAAAGCCATTTGTCTTTCCAAAAAGAGATAGTAGCCCCGTCTCCAATCACCCATCTCTGGCCTCTTAACACGATTTCATCCCGGCCAATACACACACTTCTCCAAGTAGAAGAACATGGCCGCTTGGCTTGCATCTAGCTTCGATCGTGAATCTCACCCACTCGATACTTACTCCGAAGGACTCGTGCCCATAGACTTGTATGATCTTGCATAACACGCCAGCTCACCTTAGCAAGAAGAGCCGTATTCATAGCGTGAGCTTTCCGTATACCTAGACCCCCTTCACTACGAGGAATACACACCCGATCCCAAGCTACAAGGTGTTGTTTCTTCTTTTCGGCAGTGCTACCCCATAAAACGCTTTAGAGATCTTATCTAGCCCATCTAACACTGACTTTGGAAGGGCAATAGAGCTCATTGTGTGAACCGGGATTGACGACAAGACCGATTTAGTTAGAGTTAACCTCCCTGCAAAACTCAGAAACTGACCTCGCCACCCTGCCAGCCGAGAAGAGACCCTCCCCAAAACCTCTCCAAAGGTGTCTTTGTTTATCCTCTTTTGTAGAACGGGCATTCCCAGATACTTCCCCAAATCCACTGTCGCCTTAATGCCACTTGCATCACTAATCAATCGAGCCAACTCTCTAGAGACATTGTTGGAGAAGAAAACTTTAGACTTTTCTAGGCTCACTTTTTGTCCCGACGCGAGACAAAACTTTTCCAGCACCCCTCGCATGACCCGAACCTGAGATACCGAAGCTTCACCAAACAGAATCAAGTCATCCGCGAAACAAACATGGGATAACTTAGGTCCTCCCTGTGACAAGCGGATCGGCTTCCAGTCCTTGTTCCCAATAGAGCTATCAATCATTTGGCACAATCGCTCGATACAAAGGACAAACAAATACGGCGACAACGGATCACCTTGCCGGAGGCCACGCATTGGTTTAAAAGTTTCCGTTTTCTCCCCATTCCACAAGATAGTCATTGAGGGTCCCCGAACACACTGTAAAATCCAGTTAACCCATTGCTCATCAAAGCCCGCAGCTCGTAAAGTGTCCTCAAGAAAATCCCAGCGTATCCTGTCATAAGCTTTCTCCAAATCCAATTTCAAAAGCATCCAACCCTTCTTACCTTTCTTCCTCCTCATCGAATGCACTGCTTCCTGGACAACAACAATATTATCAATACTCAAACGTCCAGGAATGAAGCTAGACTGCGCTGGACCAATCAGCTTGCCGATTATCTTCTTCAGCCGCAAAACCATGGTCTTGGTTATAATTTTAAACACCACGTTGCACAAACTAATCGGACGGAACTGAGTAATATGCTCCGGCTTGGTTACTTTGGCAATTAAGACCACAAGGACATCATTCGTCTTCGGAGGAAGCGTTCCGGTTGCAAAGAAGTCCAAGACAAACCGCACCACAGACTCTCCTACAACATCCCAACAGTCTTGATAGAACACGGGCTGATAACCATCAGGCCCCGGTGCCTTAAAGCGTCCCATACTCCGGATAGCAGCCTCTACTTCTGAGGCCATGAAAGGCTTGGCCAGATTAGAGCGATCTTCCCATGGTAAGCTAGCAAAACCTGACCACGGTAACGTATCCACCCTAGGCGGAACATCCTCCATTGAGTATAATCGTCTATAATAACTCATTGCCATTTGCTCTAGCTCCACTGCACTTGAGAGCCATCGATTCGCATCATCCCGCAACATATCAATCCGACTATGACGACGCCGTATAACCGTAGAGGTGTGAAAATATTTAGTGTTGCGATCCCCCAACCCAATCCATTTTTCTCTTGACTTTTGGAACCACATAATCTCCTCTTGCTCCAAAACTTCCTCAAATTGCTTCAAAAGAGTCTCCTCTTGCCACAGTAAATCATCTGTTTGGGTTAATTCCAATCTCCCTTGCACCACTTGAATATCCCCCATAAGTTTTTCCTTCTTTTTTTGGATATCACCAAAGACATCTCGATTCCACTTTTTCAGCCTAACTTGGAGCACTTTCAAAGCCTCCGGTGTAGACAAATTACTGTTCCAAGAAGCATCAAATAGCTCTTTAAAACTAGGGTGCTTCAACCAAGCCGCTTCAAAACGAAACGGTCGTCACCGCGGGTCGGCACCCACCTCCGGACACAACTGGACATAAAGCGGGGCATGGTCAGATGCAAGGAAAGGTAAATGCGAAACCCGAGCTTCCTGCCACTTAAGACGGGAATGAGCGCAACACAAAACCCTGTCCAACCGCTTCGCCACAAAGGTTGCTTCCACTTTTCCTCTCTTCCATGTATATTTGTTCCCACGGAAGCCCATGTCAATTAACGACAAGTTATTAATCCAGTCGCTAAACGCTAGTGAATCCAGAGAGAGTCTACCACTTCCTCCTGCTCTCTCGTCTACACGAACTATGGTGTTGAAATCTCCTCCTATGATTAATGGTCCCTCAAGACCGATAATCACATCTCTCAGCTTATCCCATAGTCCACTACGGCAGCTCACCGAAGGCGCCGCATACACCACTATAAGGTTCAAAATATCCATGCCATTTTGGATTTTCGCCACAATGAATTGATCCGAAGAGTCCAAAATATCGACCGTCCCAACCTCATTTCTCCATAACAACCAGAGACCACCACTCTGTCCCACCGCCTCCACTTTAAACGTATTTCCGAAGCCTAAATTCTGACATATACGAGCTGCTCTGTCACCGCTTGCATGGGTTTCAAACAGAGCAAGGATGTCAGTTTTAAACTTTTTTAACAAATACCGAATGGCACGTCGAAATTCGGGTTTATTTGCCCCCCGGCAGTTCCAAAGAAGACAATTCATCATAAACTTCTGATTCAAAAACCAAACTACCGGGGAACACCGTTATGCTCTCTCCGTCGCCGTGAAAACCTCCGCACTCGATGGAGCCAAACCAAACCCCTCCGTACTTTGCAAACCCAACGGACCAGAGCTAGATGTAACCGCTAACCGAGACTTTTCACATAGCTCAATCTCTTGTGACTGCTCGATTCCATCCTTCATAAACACACCACCCGGTCTGCCCATGGTCTTTGTTTCCACACGCAGCCTCTTCCCGTTCGCGGACAGAGCACTCTCACCCTTAGCCAGGCCAAAAATTAAACCCTTAACGGGCTTATGCGCATGGTGCATTTTTCCCTTCGACCCAACATTGTCCAAAGGCCTTATTCCCCCACTACTAGATTTTTTGGGCCCTATATGGGATGTAATCTTATTCGTATCCGCGGTCGATCCAAAACGCACCATCTTGCCTTGAGCTCCACTCAACACCTCCTTTGATTGATGCGCATGAAATTCATTTTCCTTATTCTCCCCACCAGATATGGTAACTTCATGTAATCCCGGAGATTCATCATTTTGTGTCAATCCCCCAAACCGATTCGAAATTCCTAATCCCTTGTGTCCCGGGATCTCTCGGAGATTTCGCTCCGTCTCACCGGATTTCCTGCTAGCTTGGGAACTTGCAGCCCGTCGCGCGCGCCGGACTAAAGTAAATCCCTCCTCTGGCGGCGCCGGACACTCTAATCTAGTCTCCACCCGATCCACCACCGGTGCTATGGCCTGTTCAACTACAACCTTCTCCAAAGCAACTTTAGGGCATGCATGAACTAAATGGCCATACAATCCGCACGATGAACAAATCCTTGTAAGCCCCTCATACGCCACAAAAAACCATTCACCATTAATCAACAACGTCCCTTTCAATGGTTCCGAAAGATTCACCTCTACACACACTCTTGCGAACCTTGCTCTCTCTAAACTCAACGTCGTCAAATCCACCCTCAACGGTGTACCCACTCCTTCCGCGATCGCCATAAGAATGGATTTGTGATAATACCAAACCGGAATGTTCATCAGCCGAACCCAAACCGGAGTGGTAACTATGTCATCCTTCAAAGGATCGAAATTTGGTGACCACTGCTGCACCATCAAGTAGTTACCAAAAACTCTCCAAGGACCACCGGTGAGGGCGTTTAGATATTCTTCTTCCAACTCAAAACGAACCATGAAAAAGTGACGAGGGAGATCCATCACATACATCCGTCCCGACGGCTTCCATAGCTCCTTAAGTTTTCGATTCAACACCGCCACCGGGATCTGCCGGCCCAACACCTTTACAATCATGCAATTCTTCCACAACCCATGCATCACTGATATCACCTCCTCCCCGATCGTAATCTCCGGCTCCCCCGTTCTCCCGTTTGGGAAGTCAACCCGAACCCTAGCTTTGACAAACGCGTCGTCCAAAACACTCTCCGGCGTTGGTAAACCCCCAGCCGTGCTCCCTTTCACCCTACTTGCCCAAGAAGTCTGCAAATCCGGCGGATCCCCAGGCGGGCGCTCCTTCTCACCAATATCCATCATGGTGACCTCACCACAAGTCACCGCTTTCTCCGTTCTCCTTTCGTTCTCCATCTCTATGTGATTTGTAGAAACTTATTTAGAAAACAAAATTGTCAACTTTTTTTTTTTTTTGTGTTGATATTGTTAAACATATGTTCAAATTTACATAAGAAAATATTTAGGGCTGTGAATTTTATAATAAAATCTACCTTTGGGAAAATAAATATAATCATATTATATAAATAAATTTATAAATCAAATTGTAAATCATATCATTACTTCATTAAAAAATTTGAAACTATTTTTTCATAAAAGAAATATAACGATATGTAACATTAAAATATATGTTAGTTCAGGACAAAACATGGTCTTCCTATTTCTAATGTCAAAAATAGGGTATTTTAATTACATATCTCTATATTAGTAAAAGAGAAGTACAAAATAGAATGCGGGTCGGGTCAAGAGTAAAAAATAAACCCGATTTTAAGAATTGGATACTTCAAAATTGGATATTAAAATGGGTTTGAATATATACATCGGATACTTTCCATATTTAATTTTAGGATTATATTATTTCCATAACTAATTTTAGGATTTCCTAATATTTATTTAACTAACTAATATAATATATTAAAAACAATTATTATTCTTCTTTTACTTTTATTTGATCTTTCTTTTTTAATTTATGATATTATACTAAATAATAAAAATGTTTCAAATTTTTTTAACTTTTTATTGCATATGCTGCAATTTAAATTTTTCAAAACGGACATATAATACTCAATTACACTCGGTTAAATATTTTGGACAATGATTGAAAATCATTATAAGTATGACCAATATTAAAACCATTGTTACATAAGCATATTTAAAATATTTGTTTTGAGACATAGATGTAAATTTGGAGACATGATTTTTATTGATAAAATATTATATATCAAACTACGTAAATTTTAGATAGTCCAAGGGTAGTTTGTTAAAATCACAATTATAATGGTAAATCGAGTTATGAATAATGTTTTTACGATATGAATTCTGTTACGGGTTGGTTCTTCAAAAAGTATATTGTAAGTGTGTAATTTTTACGTCTATTCCTACTTCTATTACAAAAATGGTCAAATTGAACAATTTATCGATAAATATTCTTTTGTGCTGTTAAATTTTTATCTTTTTTTAATTCTATCAAAACTCAATATATTATTATTTACTCGTTTTTTCCTTTATTATTTTATTTAAACTTATTATACAAATATATGATTCACTGTAATCGACTGCACTGTAATAAAATTAAAATGTAATATAATTTAATCCATTAAACTTTTTTTTGGTAAAAGTTTAAATAAATTATTTTTAAAAATCCGTTAAACATTATCTATAAGTAATTATTTCTCCCGCGCTGTAGCGCGGGTCCAAACCTAGTCTAATGGTAAAATAGGATTACATTATAAATAAAGATATAGATAGACAAAATTTTATTTCCAATTTTCCCTATCTTGTATTGTAAAACTGTAATAGACGACAAGACTTATTAATTTGGAAAATATATCACAGCCTCAGCATATATAATTATATAAAACTGATTCATGGGCATTTAAATAGATTTGTATCATTTTTTGCAAAAAAGGTTGGCTACAAGATCACACAGAGGTAAACTAACTACAACACTAGTGCCCTTCTGTTTTTGTGTTCTTGATTTGTATATGAAGTCTCTCTCTATACAACATACGAATGACAAATACAATAAAACTCTAATCCTAATCTCATCCCCAAAAAACACTAAAACAAGCTTGATGCAATGGCTCATGCCTTGCATCCATTATTGAAGATTGTCTACGACCTACCTGCTGAGCTAGACTTCTTCAATGATGCCAAAATTTATCTAAGTAGGTTTGTCTAAATGCCTCTGCTACATATTATTTATGTCAGAATCTTAGTATGTTGCAGTAGCAGGCGTCTTTCATGCACATTTCTGGTTCTTTCCATGTCGTTCCGAGGTGGTGGATGTTATCTACAGACCACCAAAGAAAGATCCCTGAGTTGCTCCGTTTTCAGACAGTTCGCTGGTGTTATGTGTGGACTTAGTTGAAGAAATACTGTGATTTTAGCACTTCCTTTAAATCGAAATCCCCTCTCTTTGGTACTGGAGGAAACACGAGATTCGGGTATGATTCTTGGAAACTTTGGAGCAACTGTATCAAGAACACAACAATGTCAACAAGACAAGCAAGGCATTCATACAAACACTTCAATCATATCCTAAATTTAGTTAGAGAAAGAAGTACTAACTAGAGCCAACATCGTTAATGTTGATATTCTATAAAGAACGCTCTGTTTCATGATTTATAGTGATAGTAGAAGTATAAAACTAAAATTTGGTAATTTACAAGTAAATCCATGAACCTTGATTCACTAAAGCTGGAAAATACTCTACATACAATTTGAAAACTGTCTGATGGTTAGCACATTCTTTTGCTTTGGCAAATGTGCAGGAAAAGAAAGTCAGGCATTCAGTCCTAAGTTTCTAACCAGCGAGTTATCAAACACTTACATCTTCAAGGATCGGTGTGTTGTAAAGCTCAACAAATTTCTCCCTAAGTATTCTGTTCATTGTGTCAACATCACATGCATGGGTCCAGTAGGAGTCATGCACACCTGCAAAACCCAGGCTTTGAATAAGTAGATATTCCTTTTCTTCTTTTGGTTGGCAAGCTATCAGTTGAATTAACAGGACTAACCTGCAAAGTTTAGGCCAGCCTCTCGACATGCGACAGCAGTCATCATCATATGAGTACCGTCCAGCGAGTGCACAAAATTTGGAGGAAACGCTGTTCTTTGTTTCCTAACATCCACCTGAGAATTACAAGTATTATAAGACTACATGATCATACAAGTGAAATTTTCTCAGGGATGACTAAGAAAGGAACAAATAGGCTTTACCGTGTTACCCTCTCGCTGCAGAGCCAAAACCTGAAGAGATGTTCTTATCTGCAACCATCGTGGTCATATTTGATACCAGCAGTCAAAATTATTGGCTCCCAAAATGGAATAATTTGTAGCTTACATGAAGGATTCTTACCAGATGTCTTTCACTTCTGCAATAGGGTTGCACAACAGGGAGCCCAAGAGGGGTGATCCATCGCACTGGATGATTATCGGAAGCAATTATCTGTAACGTTGGCAAGTCAAAAAGAAAACACTATTAGGTCTCTCATTTACTACACTAAAATTACAGAGTTAACAAACATGCTACAAGACCACACCTTTGCGCAATCACCAAGCCAACTCATAATGGCACGTGCCGCTTCAAATATTTCTCCAAGGGCAGCTAGGGTCACCTGAGCAGAAATGTTTCAAGTATAAAAAATTAGTACATAAGTAAAAACAAAATAATAATTATTCGCGTGAATGCTACTATTCTTCTTACTTTTGCAGAATAGCAAGCAGCAGCAAATAACATTCTCTCGTCAGTGATAACACCTTTCTCTTCTAATCTTCTTTTTATTTGTTCACGCGCCCCAACATAGGTGACACCATATACTGACGTCATTACCGTCTGCTTTACCAGCTTTCTGTCAACCTGAGATCAGAAGAATAAATAGCATCATTGGGAAGAACTTTTGCTGTGGCACTATGTTCAATTAAAAACCATTGAGACTCACTTGAGTGATAAGGATCTTTGCCAATGCGGCGGTTGGGTTTGATTCAGGATCCTTACTGCTGTCCTTCTTCATTATTTCATGGACTCTATCTCGGTACAAGCAAAGACAAGACGAGTGAGAAAGAGAGACAGAGAGGAAAACTATTAGAAACAACCCATGACATGATAACAACTCGAATAAACGAATTGACAGCCATTGTATACAGAGTTGATATGATACCTCCGTGAAATTTCGGAATAGACATCAGCCGGTTTCTCTCCTGCAACTAGATTAACTGCTGCAGCTTCAAACTAGGAGAAGCCATTTGACAACAAGAGAACTATATGAGATTGAAAATTACTCTAAATAAGAGAAAAAGGCAGATTATATATGTTCACAAGAGAGCCTACACTATCTCTTCCTAAAGCTGCATAATGCTGTAGACCATTGCACGACCCATCCTGCACATAGAAATGAATCAAGGAAAAGTATTGATTAAGTATAGCATAGTTGATTCACAGCCCAATGGAAAGACCACAGCTGGTGAAACCAATTAAAAACTTATACAACAGGGAAAAGCAAACAACCTACTAATTTCCCAACATAGAATCTTCTACAGAAAGCAAGTGTCAAGTAACAATAAAGAGTAGAATAACTTTGGATACAAGCTTACGGTGCTTACCTGATGAATAGGCAAGTGGGAAATTACTGAATAAGGCGAAGGGCTTTTCAAGGCTTGCGTCAGAATAACACATGCAGCTAAACACTGAAATGGATCTTCAGCCTTTAACCACCATCGCTTTCCATGTATAGGGTTTTCAGCTGAATCCATTACATCATCCAAATGGGTTTCCACAAAAGCCAGACGCGCATCATGTGAGAGCTTTTCAACACCACCTGCATAGAGGTTTGCTAGATGTATTTTCAGCCAATGCAAGCCTGACTTTCCAAGTGGTCGTCCTTCAGCAAACTCCAGGGTTCCACGGCAAAGATCAGAACTCAGATGATTCAGATGAGGATGCATTGGATATGCACGGCCCCTGAAGTCAAGATTGTGAGGGTAGTAGAATCCTTCCTCGTCTTTCATTTTTCTAGCCACCTGAGTTCAAAATATTTAGTCCATATCTTTTGCTGTTTAAGTGAAGATGGAACAATATGTTGTAAGCAGTAAGAATCTATTTCTTACAGAAAGTTTGAGCTCAACATCACATCTTAGAGAATGCCTCTCTCTGTTAATCTTGTTGGCCTTTCGAACACTCCATTTCCAGGATTGGAGTTCTTCTGGATCCTCAGAGGATGGTTTCTCTGGTATGGGAACCTAATCAAACAAACAAGAAAGAGAACAGGATCCATCAGACACATACCATTAAAACCTATACCTCA